CATCGACATCTCCATCACCAGATGATACAGCACCAAAAATAGTTCGATCAGCTTCAGTTAAATCATGTGCATCCGATTCAGGTGTTTCATCATCCAGTCCATTGTCAGATAATAATATTGTTCATGTAAATAGTTTTTTTTCAAAATCTTATTATTATTAGTTTTTTTTTTATATTAAAATTTTTTTAGGTATTTCGAACAAATCATTTTGAAACAATCAATCAACAACATACATCAACTGGAAGTCGAAAACGTAAATCACTTGCTCATTTTTATGATGAACTCAATAGAGATAAAAAATTTTCAACTGAAGCTACAGTTTCATCAGGTTTTGCTGTACCAACAACAACAACAACAACAAATAATAACAATAATAATAATAATAATAACATTCCATATAGTCAACAAGAAGCTATTGCTATTGGCTATGCTCAATATGCTCTTATGCATAGTCTTACACAACAATTTCGTGTCAATTATCCAGCTGCATTTTTACATGCAGCTGCAGCATCGGGCTATTTACCAATACCACCACCTATGATGGCTGCTGCTGTAGCTGCAGCAGCTTCGGCGACTTCAAATACAAATGGAAATAATTCATTAGCAACAGAGAAATTTCGTGAACGTCGAAAACAACAGCAACAACCTGAAAGTGATAATAATAATAATCATATTCGATCAACACCATCTGTTAATGATCAACCATATCGACGTGAAACATATCAAACATTACTTGAAAGTAGTCGTTTATTAGGACAACAAAAATTACCTAAACCAGTACCGATCGATTTACGTAAGCATAATGGAGGAAGTCGAACTATAGATAGTAGTAAGTTCCTTTATCCATCGAGATAATTATAACATTTTTCTATTTATTTTCAGGTCCTATTCCATCAAATATTCGTTATCCATCATCGTCATCATCAACATCTCCATCTGGTTCACCTTCATGTTTAAGTCCATCAAAATCAAATAATATTGAACCTGTTAATGATTATGTTTGTATACCAAAAAAATTAATGCCTGTTATTGGTGCACGTATAAATGATTGGCTTGAACGTAATGTTCATTTTACTTTATCACTTCCAGTTATTCAAGAAACAATTGATAATGATAGAGATAAATTTTTACTTCTTTCACGTATATGGCATCGTTTATTAATAATAAGTATGATTGAAAATAGTTTTGAAATTTATGTTACTAAAGATTTACAAATAACAAATGATTTAACGTCAACAACAATAACACATCTTCCAACAGAAAATGATGTTAAACAAATTGAATCATTAATATCACGTGGTAAAACATTAGAAATAGATGAAATAGGTTTTAATCTTATACGTGAAGTTATTATATATAAAGAAGGTAAAACATTATTTGAAAATTCAAGTGCTGATTCATTTGAAAAAGCTGAATGTCAAGCACAAGCTCGATTAACAGCATGGTGTTCATCACGTGTTAAATATTCAAAAATCGTTTTCTTTTTATGCAATATATATCAAGTTAAAGAAGATATATTTGAACGATTATTTTGTGCTGGTTCAATGCATCAAAGTACACCAATTCATACATATCTTGAACGATTTTTAGCTTCAGCATCTTCATCAACATCAATGGACGACGCTTAGCGTACTTGATTGTTTTGTTTCTTAATTTAAACAATTGTATATTTCTTTTTCTTTTTATTCTTAAGTCCGGAAATAGGCCGTCAGACGGCACTTCTTCGTTTTTCATTTCCTGACTTTAATTATCCGATTTTCGATGCTTTGAGTATCGTTAAAAAAACAGAAAAAAATATAAAATAACTACAGTCGTCATTTGTATTTCTTCGAAAAAGAAAAGAGGATAAAAGAAACAATAAACTATTTGTATCTATGTGTATGTTGTGTAGAACAGTTTGTGAACTTTCTTCTTTTTTTTTCATGTTTCTTTTATGTGTAAATCTGCTGCGAACAAAGTACAGAATAAATAAAATCTTATTGACGACGATAAAAACAAAACATGTGTTAATCCTTTCGAACTTTGACAGGTTATACACATTTGTTTTGCCTTTTTGTTTTCATCATATCAATTAATATAAATATACATATATATTTGAAGATAAAAGAAAGATATAAATAAATGTGTATATATATATATATATATATATATATAAGTAAAGTGTCCTTGCCGTTATTATTATCATAATTGAAAACGAGAGGTTATTTTTTGTCCTTGAAACGAGTAAAATGGGAGAAAAAGAGTTTGTTTATCGCTCGTTTTTTCACATTAGAAGACAACAGATAGTTAACATTTGAGTAGATGGAATATTTTTATAACATATCTTTCTCAATAATCAAATGAAATCATAATATTTTCTTGTAGATCCACGGGAATAGAATTAGATAATAATAATGATTTGAAAATCTAGCTATTCTATGAATGACAATATATGTCGTATTTATTTTGTTAGACAAGCAAAATCATACTTTTTGAATTTAATGACTGCGTAAATCCTATTACATTATTATGGATTATTCATTGATAACAAAATAACTCAGGATATAATAAAAATAAGACCTTAAGCATTGTAATATATTCTAGAAAGTTTAAAGAAATTTTATTATCATATGTACTATTGATTCTAACATTAATCAATATTTGTTTAATTATTTTACATAACATATACTTTTATAACAAATTGTGTATAAAATATTATATTAACATAGAAATTAATCTTGTTTTTAGTGATTCAAACTTTAACTTTCCAGATGATTAGATAAATTCATAACTGATATAATGCATAAAAATATGAAAAAACTTTATTGTCTTGTCAGAAGTGACATATTTAAAACGATCAATAAACAAAATAATGAAAATTTCACTTTAATCCTCAATAAATAATAAATATTATTTTCGTGAAAGGTTAAGCATATTCGAATATGTAAATGATTGCATCATGTAAAAATGAATTTCAGAGCGTTAAATGTTGCTTGAGTTACAAGCAAAGATATTCAGTCTCGAAAACCCTGTTCTACATCATCTGAAACTTAATCATTTTTGTTTACTTCTTCTTATCAACAAAATCAAAGAGGAAGTTCATTAACTTCTCTAACATTGTATGACAAGCTCTAAATGATTGAATTTTATGTTAGACGATTATTGCATCCATTGAATTACTCGAAGAACAATTATTTCAACTAAACAGAATCATTATTTCAATCATTGAATAAAATAAGAATTTAAATAATAGTTTAAATTATTGACTTATTATTTTAAATATGAAAAGACAATCAAAATAAATAGATCTATAAGGGTTTAATCTTTTAAAGCTTCAAGTATTTTTTCATGAATAGTTCCATTACTAACAACAACTCCACGATTATTAAGCATTTTTTCATTATCTCGAAAATTTAATGCTTTTCCATCCATATCAGTTACTTTTCCACCGGCTTCTTCAACAATAATTGCACCTGCTGCATGATCCCAAATATTTTCTCGATAATTTTGATTATGTGGATTAGGAAAACGAAGATAAAGTGCTGCTTGTCCACAAGCTACTAAACCATACTTAACTTGTGAATCCATACGTATTGGTGCCGTTTGAATTCCAATACGACGTGCTATATCGTTTTGTTTTGTTTGGTCTCCATGACTACTTTCAACACTTTCAGCAAAACGAAAATTATTTATATTATCATTTGTTACTGTATTGATACGAGTTGGTTTTGTTGTATCAAATGATTTAATTGATTGTGAATAAGCACCTTTACCACGTACAGCATAAAACATAAGGCCACCATCATCACCATATGCTGGACATGCTAAAACCCCAACTTTTACATCACCATCAATAATTAAACCCAATGCAATGGCATATTGATCACGACGTATAAAACCTTTGGTACCATCTTAAAGAGTAAATTTTAAGAAAAAAAAAAAACAGAAAACTTTTTAATTTTAATTAAAAATCTTACCAATTGGATCTAATGTCCAAAAACGTTGACCAACATGACCATTACCATATCCAATCCATTCAACAATTTTCTTTTCATCCACATCATTATTTTCTTCTTTAACATAATTGACTATCTGTTTAAGACTATCAATTCTTGCAGGTTTAAGTAATTCTTTTGGATTTTCTTCAGCTACAATTGAATCATTAGGAAATTCACTATGAATTCGATTGCATATTAATGCTTGTGAACCAAAATCTGCTAACTATGTTACACAAGCAAAAAAGAACTAAAAGAAAAGAAAAAAGAATCTTTGTCCATCTTACAGTTACTGGTGAACGATCTACTTTCTCTATAGCTTCTGGTATTGTTGAACGAATACGTTCACATAATTTAGCTGCTTGAAGACATGCTTGAAGAGCTACAGATAGTTCTTTATCATAAGACATTAATCTTCAAATAAAAAAATTGCTTGAATTTTTTATAAACACAAATAAATTCTTTTCTAGTTTTATGTATTTTTGTTTTATCGATAACGTCGTCTAAAACAAAAAATATTGAAAACTAACATTATGCACAAAAAAAAAGTTGTAACTTTCAATCAATCATACAATGCACACATATAAAATCAATTTTAGCTAAGTTCGAATTTCAAAAAAAAGAGGATACAACAGATTCTTTTTTTATGGAACAACATAAAAAGTTAAGTTAATCATAAATCAAAAGGAACGATAAATGAAGAGCACCAGTGATGACACTCTTTTAAAAATAACTATGAACAGAATTATTGCAATTAAATAAAAAAAAAAAACGAGCAGTTTTAATAATCAATGCACAAAATACTACTTATTTTTATTTTTTTCTTAGAATATTTCTCCACCGGAAAAAGATAGAGAATAATTTGGAATGTATAATATATATTTTTTTTTCATTAGCACCAAAATAAAATTTAATATTTGTTTACATATAATAATGGCAATATTCACAATAAAATAAAAGGAAGTTTTTTTTTTTTTGGTTTTGTTTAAATGCTATCAACCATTTGTTCGTTTTTTTTTCGATTGATCATGATAATTGTGATTCATCATCACTTGTATTATCATTTTCATTTTTGACTTTTTTGCGTAATAAACGAAGACTATCTGAATGACGAAATTTACGTTTTTCATCGTTGTGGATATCATCGGTAAGACCAGAAATTGATGATGATTCTGTAATTATTGAATTTTGACTAATAACATTTGATTCTGATTGTTCTTGATCATCACTATTCAATACAGATCTAGAAAATAATATGTTTCGAGTAAAATTAATTTTTTGTCTATAAATGTTTCTTGGAAGTCATCTGCTATTGTAGACAATGATTCACTTATATTCATTTCATGGACTTATATAGTATGGAGAATGTGTCTTCTTTAAGTTGTATTATAATTAAGTGTTCAGAATCTATTGCGTACAAAGCCTGTCGAGTCAGATTTGATCGAAGTTAGATATACATCAGTTCCAGTTGAAATAAAATAGATATGTGTAAGGCAATCTTTTTTGTATCCTACACTCTGACTGAGAAAGACTTTCTTACTCTTATATTACTCTACACTGCACACCTCTAGACTGGAATTCAAAGGGGCTAATCACCTGTTCGACAAATAGCCTGTTGAAATGAGATTCAGTTGAATTGACACCGGTGACAACCTAATCACGCTGCAGGTTTTGAAGATATTCATGGCTTCTATTTTGTACGATAAGTTCATTTGTTAAGAGAATATCTAGAGAGATATGGTTAAGTTTTGCATTATAGGAAAGAGATACATATAAAAGAAGTGGATGGAGTAACGCTTCCGGTTAATTGGATTTCATACATGATACTTAACCTTCCCATATCACTCACTCATATATTATACATTGTCCTTACCTTTCTATTCTTATGCTTCTGTTCTTATCCTTTTGTTCTCCTATATCGGCTCTCTTTTTGGCCTTATATCCTCTTTTCTTCTACTTGCGTATATAAGCGTGTGCTATGTATGTAAATAATGCGATTATATGGTATGGAGGAATAGAATAAAGTGTAATAACATCAGCACTAACATCCCTTCTTTCAAAAATCGTCATAGATGGATTTCTAAATAATTGAACACGATCATTTTACAACCATTATTTTTTTTAATGAAATTCTCTTTTCGAAGTTCGGAAGCATACATGTGCTTTATCAAGAGATTAATACAAAATGAGTCAAAAAAACTAACCTACCCACTATGAAATACCATTTCTATACTGATTAAATTTAGTTTTAAATCAGTTTCTTTTGTAATAGATGGATTCGGTAATACACTGCAAACTAGAATCGTTTTCATTCTGAATATAGTTCATCGTAAGTGAAATCAAAGAAGAAATTCATTTCGAAAAGAAATCATACTTGCTAGTTTCGATCTTTTATAAAAATTCAATAAATCGATCATCTTCTTATATTCTTCCTTAACTTATTAGATTTCTCTTTTTTTTTGTTCGGGAATTAAAAATCGATATTTCATATATTCATGTTGAAATTACTTAATGAAAGAGAACGACTTACTCGTCAAGATCTACTGTCACTTGTCCAACTTCATGATTATCATTGATCGAAGTAGTCATTGTTTGTTCAATATTAGTATCATTGTTACCTGAAATGTCTACAGACTGTTTTATTTCATCATGATTTTCGAGTGGAATGATTATGGATTGTTCAACTTGATAACTATCATCGGTTAAAGTATTGACTGCTTGTTCAACTCTATTATTATCATGAGTTGAAATATCTAACGAATCTTCAAGTTCTTTACTATCATCGAGCGACTTGTCCTTCAATTGTTCAACTTCATCAATATCTTTGATTGATGTATCAACGGATCTAAAAACAAAAAGCTTTTCATTATGTCAAATCGAAATCAAGAAGTGTGCATGAGAAATTAAATTTATCCTGTTTTACTTTTACCATTGTGAAGCTATCATGATCTTTTATATTTTTTACTTTATAGCCCTTTTAGGTCTTTCTGTCCCTTGAGTTCTTTTAGGTGCGAGTTGGGTGTGCCTGTGCGTGGATGAACGTGTTTTCTTCACCCACATCGATCCTACACTCAAGAGGATTAAGGAAATAAAAGAGCATCAGGGCTCCAATTAGGAAAATGAAGAGAATTTCGTCCCTAAAATGTCCGACTTTCTGTCAAAGCTTTACAGCTTCATTGTAACTCTGCATGACAATCAGAATTTGAAGCATCGATCGTCATTCTCTAGCAGAAAATGAAACAAAAATAAGTAGACAATGTCATTGGGAGGTGAATAGGATTGATGAGGCTATGGGAAAGAGACGGTCTGGTAGCAGAAAGTCTCCTCATAGGAGAGGTTGAGTCACGGTGGATTTTGTACTTTTTTCCCGTCCGTCATCACTTATAGAACTCCGAGAATGAAAATACTTCCTGTCGAATTTTAGTCCCTTTCACCTCTGTAAAATATCGACAATTCTGATAAGCATAAAACTAAAATGGCATAAATTTGATTTCTCGTGGACCTATGCAAATCGAAGATTATTTACTGATGAGTTTCTTCATTGTCATTCTGAACAGTGAATGTCGAATGTGCATTGTCTATCATTATCGAAGGTGTATTATCTTTTAATTGATTTGTATCTAAAATTTGCTTTTTTAATTCAATATCATCTGGTTTAGTAACGATTGAATTTTTTTGATTCACTTCATTAATATCATTAGTTAATGCTTTATTATGTTGTTGTTCTTCTTCTCCTTCTTGTAAACGTAATTTTTCCTCATATATAAGTATATTACGCTGGCAAAGAGCTGCAATATCATTCATCCATCTTGCTTTTTGTTCAAGTAATTCTCTTGTACCACCACCACCTCTGTTCGATTGAAATGATGTACTACTTGTAAAACTACTTAAGCCAGTTGTCATTCGACGAAGATTCGCTATTGAAAGAAGACTATTCGTATTTGTTGTTCGAGTAATATTATAACTATTATTTGATAGAAAACCTAAATTTGTCGGTATTGAAACAATTGGATCAAAATCAAGTTTTAGTAGCGATTTATTGTTTTTCATTGCTATTGCCATACCACATACACCACTAGCTTGAATATTATTTTCTCTTAAATCAATATATTGTATTGTTGTTGATTCAGCAATAAATTCTGCTAAAGCAATAGCAGCTTGATCTGTTAAATGACAATTTCTTAATATTAATTCATTTATTGTTCGATTTGTTAATAAAGCATCACGTAATAAAAATAAACCTTCGTTTGTTATATCATTTTGACTTAAATTTAATGAACGTATTGTTCGATTATGAAGCAAGGATTTAGCAATGAAACCAACACCTTGTTGTGTTAATTGATTTGTTTGAAAACTTATTTTATGTAAACTATTTTCATTTGTATGATTTTCATCATATTGACTTAGTTGAGAAGCTATATGAGATATACCAGTATCTTGTAAAGCATTAGAACTTAAATCAAGTAAGAATAAAAATTGACCACATGTTCGTATTAATTCATTGATCAGTAAAGAATCTTGAACCTGAAGACCTAATAGAATAAAAACGAATCGATAAAATTAATTTTGTTTTTTCTTGTTCAAGAAAAATATGTATATATAATATCACAAAAAAGTATTCATGATTAACTGTTTATGACACTTTTATTGGTAGGTTATTGCAATCGTTCTAAGTTTGAGTATTGTAGCATCTTACGACCTTTAGTGTCGAGAAGAGAAAATTTGTTAATTGAAATTTTTAAGAACTCTTTGGTTTTTATATCCCAGTGGGTTACATGAATTTCTGCAACGACCAAAAGCCATACAGGGCTTTCAGCCTGGGCTAAAACTCCTTTCATTAGCTTCCCTAAAAAACTGAAATTCTAAAAAACAGTTGATGCACTTATATATACAAGATCACACTAAAATATTGCATATATTGAGATAGTTTGTTCAGTAACCTAATTACTAATTGAACATTTCATAACTTCAATATTCAAAGAAATAAGGTTTTTTCTGTGGATCAATGAGAGGGGTCCCAAACCGGATCGAAATTCTGATCTCCTCTTAGAGTATCTCAAATTAACTTCCAGTACGAAAATATGCTATTTCTCCTTAGACAATAAACGAAATCAATATAAATGTATTTACTACTTTCATCATGACAATAGTAACTGGCGAAAGAATCTCTTCAGGTATCAAATCACTTTTCGATCAAGACAATGTTCGTGTGATGAGTTATAGAAAAGCCTTGTTTTTCTGGGTGTTCATTCTTGAGATATCGAAAAGTTTACTGAAGTTTTCGTCTAACTTAGGTCATATAAGAAATCGAATTCCAGGTTTTAATTTCCAACTTTGCATGAACGAAGTTCCCAGTGATATTAGTTCATTAGACGAATTGTAACTTTTCTAGCATCTCCTATCCTGAGATATTCAGTATTCGATATTTTTCAATGTGTCAAAATGAATTTAGTTCATCTAAACACAGTTAACGAATCTTGTGAAGAACTCTATTCATGCAAAGTTGGAAGTCGAAATTGAATTTTTCACGTGACTTGTGGAAGACGAAACAGGCAGTAAAATTTCCATATCTTAACAATAAAAAACTCAGAAAACCAAATCATTCTAGACTTTTCTATTGTCCATCAAATGAAAATCATCCTTGTCGTAGAGCGATTTGATCCCTTCAGAGACTTCCTCGTAAATGAAATAGATCGATGCTATCCGTTTACTCGACTGAATATTCTTCAGGCATATCTAAAGATACTTATTTACTAGTTAATTTAAATTTGCTAGAATTCAAATAAATTAAAATTGTAATACATACGATTATCACAAAGATAAAGTTCTCGTAAACAAATACATGAACGTAAATTTTGTATAAATTTTTGTAATAGTTTACCAGTTAATTGACATGATTCAACATGTAATTCATATAATGTTGATGATAAACGTAATGAACGTGTAAAACTGAATATAGTATTTTCATCGAAACGTGTTGAATTCATATCAAATCTTTCAAGAGAATTTGTTTTTCTTAAATATTTTGTTAATGCTATATATCCTTGTAAACCAATTGGACGAACATTTGATAAATTAATATGTGTACATGATTCATAATATTCAATAACATCAAATAATTGTGCTAATGCTGAATCATCAATAGATGAGGATTCAAAATCTAATGTATGAAAACGACAACGTGATAAAACTTCTTCAATAGCATCAATTTGTTTAAGATCAATTTTTTCATTAACTATTTTTAAACAGTCAAGACGATCATAATATGATTTTCTTCCATCATCCATTGAACTTAGCTGATCTAGTAAACAATTTAATGGACGTACTTGTAAACGTTGACATGTTGCACGATAACGTTGTAAAATAACACCAAGTGATAAAAGTGGTTGATTCGATAAAGGTTCAGGTGAATATGATATTAAGCGCAATTGAGTATCATCTGTTGGAAAATGAACACGACGCGAATGACTAACGGTTGTTATAGGCTTTTCATCAATATCATTTTCATTTGATTGTTCAGTTTTGTTATTATGAGGTGTTGATGGTTCAGTTTTACTATCATCGATGGTTGATATTTCAGTTTCAGTATTATTAATGGATGGTGACTCAGTCTTATCCGATTTTATGAAATGTATACTCGGAAGTGATGAATTATTGCTATCATTTTGTGTAGACATAATTAGACTATCTCTAAATTTATCATCTAAAATAAAATTATATTTATTCAAATTTTCAAGAAAAAAGATGTAAACAAAATGTTATTCTGTCCAACGATGAAGACAATGTTGATTACGACACACATAATAAAGTGTCATACGATCCTTAAATAAATAGTAGAATAATTTTAAAAATACATTTTTATAATACGAAAAGAACACAAACTTCACTTCGAGCTGATTGAGCTTGAAAAAAGACAGCATCATTACCACGACATTTTGGACCTTTACAAAAAATTTCTTTTTATTTTATCTATTCATTTTAAATAATTGACTTACAAGGATGATCAGCAGTACGTGGCAATGTTGGATCAGAAATGACATCAGTAACAATTTGTGTTAATTCACTAAAAAATTTTAAAATTTCTTTTTATATAATACTTTTTAAAGATTATAATCATAACATGTGGAAAAAAAATGATTTAATCAATTATAAAATATTCTTTTTCTTAGAAATCCATATATATGTATATATGAGAAATTTCAGAGAACTTTTTTGATTCAATTGAAGAAATTCTTAATTTATAAGAGATGTCACATTACCATTACTTATGGCGTTAATAATTACTTGTTGCTTTTAATTATTGAATTTTTATTTTTTATTTTTTAAGAGTAACGTATGCGTTAATGATTATCTCCAAATAGTAAAATGTGAAGGCAATAAATAATAACGAGTACTCATCACTCATTATTCTAATGAAGTGATAACAAAAGAATAAATACACTATAATAAATACAAACTGACAGCTAAGGTATGGTTACTTCCATCGTATTAATCGGTCAAATAGTAACTTGTAGAACTCCTCAAACATAATCAATATCTAGGACAAAAAAATCAACTAAATACTTGCACTATATAGTACTGTTCACATAGCAGTTCTCGTACCAGTATCTAACTTGTATTCATTTTGCTGATAATGTAAATACGTCAATATTTAGTTCCAGATAAAACATATTCTAATAATAAAATTGAAGTGCTTAATCATATAAATCGCATATTACAGAATTCGGAATATATTCAACATGATAAACACCAAGAATTGATTTCGAACTTCTGCTATATAGTCTCGCAAGAACTAGCAGGATATGTGTTCTCATATGTTAGTCGTATGTGTATACTCTATACAGATATGCAAGCGTCTGCTAACTTTTGACCTGTACTCATACTACAGATGCAGCTAATTAAGAGGTCAATCGTTCTTGATTGGCTGCAGCTCACTTTTGACCTGTACTCATACTACAGCTGCAGCCAATCAAGAGGCCAATCGTTCTTGATTGGTTCTTTTCTTTTTTTCACCAGTGCAGATGTGAAAATACAGCGAATACTGTGTACATGTTTATTTATGAAAAAAAAGGGAACCAATCAATACTGATTGACTAGTCTTATGTTTGCTCTGGTGAAGACTTTGTACGTCTGAAAGAGTGAACAACAGAATTGAAAACATCTTATTAATAAAAAGTAAATGCTTCAGTTTTGGAGTACAAAACGCTTTTAGATAAACTCTATAGTGTTTTTATATCTCAGTGTGAGAGTAGAAAAACAGTTTTGTTGAAACTTCAAGAACGATTTGGGTTCAGATTCAAAAATTTTGAATTCAGTAGGCTTCACTGGTCTGATTTCTAACAAATGTACTGGTATAAAATTTTTACAAACTAAATGTAATGTCACATTGACATAAAAGTATAAGCACTATAAAGCTCAGATGCAAATTTGATCTACTTTTCCAAAATAATTATCTTCACACGTCCATATCGATGAATGAAATATTATGTTAACTACTCTTGTGATTACTTTATCGCTCGTAGTTGATAACCAATGAAGAGAATTTGAAAGAAACATTGAAAATTCTTTAAATTTCTGATGCCTACCGCTGTAATGAAGGAATCAATCCAAGAGATTCATATAAAGAAGAATTCCGCACTAGTAATAGAATTCTCGATCTTCTTGAAAAGAAAAGATTTTACGTTTATCACATATCATGCTATTTGATACTTCAGGTTACATTCTTTACATGATTTGGAAAGTATAAAGATAAAAATTGAAAGCTTGATGATCTTATTAGTAAAAATATCACTATAGCCAAAAAAGCCCCATGATTATCATATAGCTAACTTTTAACTTCAACTATCACTATAAAGATAACAAATTTATTAATACAAGACCCTTGTCTAATAGTAAATTTTATAAACAGTTAATAAAGTATAAATTTTTCAATAAGACAATTCGTCATTTATTTAAATAATTAATGTAAATTATGATTCTCTAGAAAATTTGTCAAGCGATTACCTCAAGGACTGAACCATTCGTGTACGGAAAGAAAAGATATTAATGAAGGTGACTTTAAACCAACACAATCCTACAAATCACAGTCGAACTAAAACTTAACTTGATTAAATTTTATAAGAGCCTGACTTAAACATTACTCACATAGTAAGATTATAACAATTTACGTGATGCATATCATATAAAAAGTAAAGAATCTATACTGTTTCCTGACGTGGTTCTAAGCCATTACATGGCAAAACTTTTAGTAGCATAACCCACATATATGTATATATAGTGGCGGCCAAAATTATTCATATAGCTGAAGAAAATTTTGAAAGCGCTATATCTCTGCAAGGGTTAAGCCTTTTGCGCTGCGGTTTCTGTCAGAATGTAGAGTAGTATGTGTAGTATACTTGTAAAAAGTTTCAGCTTGATCCGTCATAAAATGTCTGTTTTAGATAACAAAGAAAAAAAACATCATGTGTTTCTCTTTCGCTCAAAATTACTCATACAGTTCATATAAATTAAATATGAAAATATGAAAGTGGTGATTTTTGATTTCACCTGTTTGATCTCTGTGGCTGCAGAAAACGATTTATCCTACGAAGTAATACGTGTTTTGCGGTTAGAAAGCTATTTCTAGTCCTAAAAATAGCGATATTGATAAATTCTGACTCATTAAAATCGTCATATTTGCATGTATCATTGAATGAATTGTATGAATAATTTTGAGAGAAACTGAAACACATGATGTTTTTTTTCTTTGTTATCTAAAACAAACACTTTACGACGGATCAAGCTGAAACTTTTTACAAGTATACTATACATACTACTCTACATTCTGATGAAAACCGCAGCTCAAAAGGCATAATCATTACGGAGATATAGCGCTTTCAAGATTTTCTTCAGCTGTACGAATAATTTTGCCCGCTATTGTATATGAAAGAGGTTCTTTTCTGCAGATTATGTTTTATATATCCATAAAAAAAAAAGTGTTTTATGGATATAACCAGAGAACTTTCATCTCACTTCTTGATCCCTATTCACTTGAATCATGTATTATCTTCAATCATCTTATCTTTTTTTCAGTTCTATGAGTATACCGAAAAGGGTCTAAGGATGATGTTTTTCAAGACTCTAAATATCACGACAGTTGTTTGTCATATATTAAGTCAATCGTTGACTTTTTTCTTTTCAAGAAGACTACTTTTTATTTTCATATTTAATGACTAATTACACTAACAAATGCTTAAATCGAATTAGCTAAAACATACTCTATTTCGTGAGTGATCTTATTAACATATATGCAAGGATTATCAGCTGCTTGTTGATGTTGACATCGCCGACACTAGAAACCAAGGTTATAATTAATGTTAGAGAAGAAAAATATTTTTTATATTTACTGCATAGAGTAATATTTTATTGTCTTTATCTTCTTTCGGATACAACATATTATTACTGAAATACAAAAACAAACAAACAGATCGAAATATAGAAACCAAACTTTCACAGACCATTCTTGACAAAATTTAATACCGACAAAACCAGAATTAGCAGAACCACTAGTAGATGTATCCATAATTTTTATATCTAAAATAATAATAATCAATTTCTGTTTAAAATGATCGATTAAATTCAAATGCTATTTATTGCCGATGTTAAGCAATTCTTTTTGTTGAAATCATAAATAAGAAAAACATGAGGAAAAGATTTTATGTGTATCTATGGAAAATATAATATAAGACGATAGCTTAAAAAGTATCCATGAGTCATTCTGGGTAAGACCGACAGTCTACAAGCAAATCAAAACGTGTATGATCGAACGAACTTCATTGGTACGTTAAGATGTCACTACTGATCTATGATGTTGAATGTTCTTTTGCTGATGAAATTCTTTAGATGATACAAAAATTCATTAATTTTGCTATAATTCAAGATAATCTTACTGACTCTAGGGAACAACGAGTTAAACAGTATAATGTCTATCGTAATCGATAAAAAAATGATGATTGCTATAAGGATCGTCATTTCACATTATATTTTCCCGTACGGACTTCATTTACCAACTTCTATCAGACTCTATGCATCATCGTACCTATGCTTTCTAGTATTTTGTCTTAACTAGGATTCGTACACAGAGATTAATACGCACAAATTTATCCAAAGTATACATATGAATAAACAAGAAGGTTAACAAAGACAATAATTATTATGCTTATTGATCTACAACTAAAGTTTCTTTGAAGAAAAGTATTCGTGTAATGTAAATACATGAAGGTTACTAAGAATTCCATTTTGAATTAGAGAGTTACTGCAGACATTTAAGCGGTACAGTCATCTATCGTACTTACCTATAAATTGAAGCGACGGCCGTAGAATATGTAAAGCTTCATAGTTCTTCTCGATAACTTAATAATCAGAAGTCATGCTGTCAAATAGATTTAAATAAAATCGATCGATTGATGGATGATATAACTCAAAAGTTAATTACATGGTATTTTAACAAAAACTCTAAAACGATTCTGGTTCGACTAAGCCATTAAATTTGTTTCTACAGAGCCTAGGTTTTTCAGAAAACTCATGTCTCCGCATATAACATGCGTTTTTTTTTGAAAGCTCTATATTTCGAAGAAACTTGATTTGAATCTTATGAGATTTTTCATGGAAGTTTGTCTAGGTGAGTGCTCTATATACACGAAGTTTCAGTTCAAAATTCGAAAATACGAGTCTTCCGAAAACCTAGGATCTTTTGAAAAAAAAACTCGATAGCTTGGCCAAACTCTAATACTTTTAGGGCTTTTATTAGAATACTGAGTGCTTCAGAGCAGCACTCAATATAGTTTACGTAGTAATGATACACATGGCCATCAAGTTTATTTATTAGAAATTACTAATGATGGTTCTAAGACAACTCTGTGATTCCGTATGTCTAAGCGATTATTCTAATGACATTCGTTTTTGAGTCGCTTACAAGCTGTTCTTTACTATATGAAAATTTGAAAACTGAGAAGTAATGCGATGGTAGTACATAATTACACTACATCATTTTTCATAATAGAGGAAACAAAGAATTGAGAATATTGTGAACTTTTTCGTCTGAAAGAAAACTGACATTTCTTTCAATAATAATGGTGCGCTTTGTTGCGAGAAGACATCGACAAGATATTATCATATTCATCAAGTTCGTTTGTTGACTGAAACATGACACTCACTTTTTTTTTTTTTATCTAAAAGACTCATTCTCTTATTTATATCTTGTGACAATCACAAGGTTATTACGGTGCATTATTAAAACATGTACTTCGATCTCTTTATTTTTATTCTTTTTCTTTGATTATTTCTTCGTTCGTCTAGTATCTTCTATGTTATTATTTCAATCTGTTTACTTTTTTGCTTTAACATTGAATGACCTATTTCCTCTACCCGTTGTCCTTGTTGTTGGCAGATACCTACATATACTTCTCATAAAGAAGGAAGAAAAAATGAAATGCGCAGACCTCGATAGCAACATGAATACAGTGTTTCCTCGTTCGTTGCAAACGAGAATGCTTACATAGATGATCTGTACTTAAAATAGATATTCTATATTTAAAAAAATATGCTTAGTAGGCTTAGATGAAATATTTTTGAAAGCTTGAATAATGATGATTCAAATAAGAGAATAAAAATCAAAAGACTTGACGACGATATGTCAAACAGTTACTCATCGATTATTTCGGTTGATTTTTGGCTAAAGAAAACCTTGAATTAGCAAATGACGGTAAATATTATTTTTCAAAAAATGTCCAGCTTTAGCGAATTTCAACATAAACAACTTCAAAAGATTATTTTAAATATCGCTTATTCCTTGTGTGATAAAATGAAAGTACAATATCTTTTCGAATAGATGGATATGATTGTTAAAATTTGATTATTCTAAATTTCTGATCAGAGAAAGCTAAGTACAGCTTATTAGTAATCAACATCCAAGCTTCTATTGTTGGTTCCATTCATACATTTGCTATCAAATGATGTTTTTTTTT